AGATGCATAACATCAGCACTTTGCTCTCGGGTATTTTTTTATTTTTTGAGAAGTTGGGATATTTTTTTTATATATGGCAAAAGTTGGGCATTTTTTTTATTCTCCCATAAAAATATTTTAGAAGTTGTTAACCGTGGTAGCTTAAAATTTAATAAAGGAAAGTCACTTTGATTTAGCGATCTTAGGTTAATCTCTCACTACGTTGATGAAGGTCTCGCACACGCGTAAGCTGCTAGAAGTTTTGTCACAAGGAGGCAAGTTATTTCACCATGGACGCAGCGTGTATTGTAAATTTGAACTAATGGTCACCTCCACACCCTCTTCATTCACAATGATTGCATTTTCAGATGCACTTTCGAACACATCCTTTCAGTACAAAACCTAAACGATTGCGGTGTGGTCATAGAATTTCAAAGCTGTGTAAGACATTGTTAACGCCGCAATGTGGATGTCATGCGACGATTACTATTATAAAATAAGCGTTAACGAATCACTAGGCAAGAAGCTCCACAATACGAAGGGCAATGAAAAATACAAGTACTGTAGGGGTTTAAAATATATTTTGAAAACCGCGCAACTAAAACTCGAGCAATGCTCGAAAGTTGAAGTTGAACATTTCAATAAACCTAATGACACCTGTCCTGAAGAGTTTTGACCGACTGTCAATGAAGAATCTACAGCGACGAGGTGACATTAGAGTGGAATATTGATCTGGACTGTGTAGTGCTAAAGAACGCCGCACCGGTCAGAAACGCATGACACGCGTTTTCTGAGTCAAAAATAAGTAATCTTTTGTAACTTTGATGACAGCGCTTTGAAAAATGAATGTGAAACGCTGCCAACTAAGGTCAGAATAAGATTGCATTAAGTACTGTATTTTCAATGGCTACATAACTGCGCTGGTGAGACACCTTCAAATCGCTTTGGTCAAAAATCAATCGAAGCACAATCAGCTTGCGGTGATTTCGGGTCTGCAAAGCGTCCAGTCATCGAGAGTTGGAGCATTTCCCCTCTCGTTGGGTAAAAGAGGTTGCATTGCCTAGTTTTGGCAATTTTTGAGCTAAACATCTACATTGTCGAGATTGCGGTCTACAGACTAAGAGGTCGTGCGCATGATACCTCATCATAGTTTTATGATTAGGAGCGCTCTGCATCGATCTTAGCTCGAGAGACAATAGTGATGAGTTGACGTCCAAGCGTACTTCGTTACCGCACACCTTGTCTCCAAAGGCACCAAACCGAAGTAGGTGGGCTCAAAAATTAGCAAAGCTTCACTAATAAGTAAGTGCATGACTTGTGTGTTTTCGACTTACAGACGATACATGGATCATAGCAATAATCACGCTATTTCCATGATGCGCTCGTATCTAAAACTTGAATGCGGAGCCACCTAGCGAACCGTCTGGTCAGACTTTTGAGAAGGCACCTCAAGACACCTCCGACACCCTAACGAGTATTTCGTACGGACATCGAATTCGTATTCTGGGTCACGAATGCATCGCAAACTGTCAATTTTATTCAAGATCCCAAGTCAGACATAGTCGTTCGTTGCTCCTGATTTTATCCGAATTTTGCCGACAGACAATTCCGGATCATTGAGCAAGTCTGGATCATGAGTCTCACATCGATTCATAAAGGCGGTGCTTTCTATTTATATGACGTTGGTATGATTTCTCGAATTACATTAAAGCCCTCTTTTTTAGGTGCAGGGCTGGCTGCTCGATCCTTAGTTATAACGGGAGAGTATTCGTCAATCGATCCTGCGTTGGGGCCGTCCCTAAATATCTCTCACTTGAAAGAGAAGCGGATATAGATGACGCAAATGATTGACACTACCACAAATGTAGAATCCACGCGTACGACTGTGCTATTCGATTGCTGGAAGATCTCCCTCTGCCACCCGATCTTGACTGAAATATGGCGCCTTTGGGCTCTCATAGAGTCTCAACCGCTCGCTCTTCAATCAACCCTTGCGACACGGGAGTTGTATTCTGCATTACAATTCGCATCCACCGTTTCGTCAATAAGGAAGAGTGAAAACTGAGGTTCCGATGCGGCTCGCACTATCCCGAAGGCCCTCGATGAGGGTAAAAAAGTTACGGTTCAATAAAGTCTCTACCGCCAGTCCGGCAATAAGAGATCCCAATGTCTGGGTATACCTCACGAATTGTCGCCTCTCCGAACGACAAGTATTAAATTCGATAACTCACGACACGTTTGGTACGATCTGTCGGCTCGACAAATCACATGTTGGGGATGCCTCTTCAGTAACGGTACATCGCAAAAGGCCTCGTTTTTTCACACAGCTTCCTAGCGCGGGGACCGCATTAGCTGCGGTCCCACACACAAATTAAGATAGCCAAATTCATGGCTATCTTAATTTCTGTTGTCTAGCGGGAAAGTTTTTGCTATATAATCCGTTCCATAAAATTTTAGCATATGCGGCTTCACTGTGGGAGACTTCATAGAGATGGTAAGTTAGAGCGTTTCGGGAGGTGACTCTAGTGCATTTTCATAGCTGTTAAACGCTTCTAGGCGAGTAATCACCGCTTCCAGTTCTTGTTTTATAATTTGTGATATCCCCAGGACCAACTAAGCACAGAAGCTTCTAGAGCGTGATTGTTGTTCAAGGATCAGACAGTTGATCGACTGTGTTCCATCCCCACGAAGTATATAGAATTATCAAGAATTATCAAATCCACAACAAGTATTTCCATGAGCAACTTAGTGGGTGTGCAACTCGCATAGAGAAGTGTTGGGGCTGCATGATAAATATTACCGACTACAATACCTGTAGAGAAAATCTCATTAGCTCACAACAAAGATAAATTCGCCTTAAAGTACGATCGTATCAATTTCAGCGTACATTTGATCAGCTTCAATCATCTGAGATCCACTCAGAACCTGCGTCATAACGCACGGTGTGAATCTTCCGCAAAGGAAATCGCAAGCTCGTCATCTATCTAATTCAAATGTAGCTCGATACAGTACGATCACTGTCGGCTGACTGTAGTGGCAAATGCACTTTAGAGTTACATCGATTACAGCATGCACTAACGATGCTAATTGTTCGACGTGCGAGTCCAACGAAAGCTACTGAATAATTTAGAACACAATGAAGGTTTAGTCAGATATAGTATTTTTCAAGCGCTTACAAGCGGGTATATATTTGTTGTTCTCTGTCTCAATGTTTTCTGAATTATAGTACAGATCTACTTGCAGCGCAGTGTGTAGTGGTGATACCTACCTCAAAATACAGCACTTAACAAGAAGGACACTATTTTGGTTGCTAATATTCGTACAGCTTAGCATGCGATATGCACTGATGTACTTCAGGATGTAAAATGGGTGAGGATTGGCGTGCGCACGTGTCAAACGTTAGACTAGGCAACATTATGCCAGGAGCGGAAAGGAAGGATTTTCAATTAGTGTATTCCTTCACATCTCCACATACTACTAATGGTCCTGGCGAAATGGCTGGTCCCGCTATCCGATTCCAATTATAGCGGGCCTTCCCCCTTCTTATCAGACAAGGCAGATGGGAGACGATCCCTTGGAGGTCTCATGAGATTTTTCAGGCAGTTAAGTACGTCGCGGATGAGAAAGACTTTATAGGTCCGTGGATCACGCAGGCTGCTAGCCCCACTTAGTTCGGTATATATGGTTTCACTATTGCCTATGTTTAACAAATATCTCTAGTATTTGTTAGGATAAAACTTATTTTGAGGTTTATGTCAGTCTTTAATAATACTGGAGCGAGCTAGACTTTTAAAATATAGGAGCACGAAGACCGGCATTTTTCGGGTCAGAGTCATGCTGGCAACTGTATCAGCAATATCGTGGCAATGGACAGGGCTGTTGACAGCAACACTTTGGGATAGTAGGCAACAAATTTAACGTCAGTGTCGGGCTTTGTACTTTGCAAAAAAAACAATAAATGACGCCCTTTGTGACGGGTCACACGGCACCTTGCACAGAGGAAGCTTGACTTCCAAGAGTATAC